GTGTGTGTGTGTGTGTGGCCAGCTCAGCCCACCAGGGGGCGCGGCTGGCTGGCATGTGGTGCTGGGGGGTTGAACCGCGGTCCCTTGCTTTACTAAGCTTGTTCTAAGTAGGTGCTTTAGACCACTGAGCCATCTCACCAGCCCCTGAATTGATTTTAAATGTTTACCTTTCATAGTCATTTTGACTTTGGGGAAGAATTAAAAGTCACACAGTGCCAGAGTTGGTGAAGAAGGTGCATGAGGACACACCACCATGTTTATACAAGTTTGCCTTTCTGTTGGTAGCACCTGGCAGCAGTGCTTTTGATCTTCTGATGCTTTTGATCATATCTTGTAAAGACACAAAAGGACTTCACTAGTGCTTCAGAAAGTAGCAAGAATGCTGGTTAAATGTGTTTAAAAGTGAGGGGAAGCATTCTGGGGAGGGCGGTAACAAGAATGCGGTTTGTTTTTTTGTCTTTTTGAGACAGGGTTTCACCATGCAGTTCAGGTTAGTCTTGAACTCACTTTGTAGCTCAGGCTGGCCTTGAACTCACAATGATCCTCCTGCCTCAGCCTCCCGAGTGCTGGGATTACAAGTATGTGCCAGGCAATGTGTCTTTTACTATATTACTTTAAAAAAAATTAAATGTTCACTGTGTATTTTGATCACTGTTCATAAGTCAACTAAAAATGGTCAGAATTTTGAAGCTCTTCTCCTGGTCCTAGACTCAAGTTCTAGGTATAAAGAGCCTACCTGACAAAGAAAAAGAACTCTCCAAGAAAGAGAGAAATTAAGAGCTTGGTTAATATACAACACAGGACATCATCTTCCCTCATCCCTCAGCAGTAACTGAGCACCAACTATGTCTGACATACTAGATGATGGAAAAGCAAAAAGATGAATCAGTTATGATTCTTTATCTTTAAAAGACTCTCCTTTGCTGGAGGAAACAGACATGAGAATAGTCTTTAAATAAGAAAGAATAAAATAAATCTTAGAAAGAAACAAGGAATTTATTATGGGAATACTAAAGAAAGGCTGACTAAATCGTGACAGAATTCTGACAATTCTTTTTTTTTTTTTTGGAACCAGGGATTGAACTCAGGCCCTTGTGCTTGCCAGGCAAGTGCGTATTCTACTGAGCCATCTCCCCAGCCCCTTGACAATTCTTCATGTAGGAAGAATTATTCATCAAGTTGATCTTCAATGGATGAGCAGGTTTCCAAGAAAGATTATTCCTGGCTTTATTAATACAAAATTAGAAAGGGTTAACAGAATATTGCATACCTGGGAAACTGGGAGCACTGTGAGGTGATAAGAATATAAGATATAGTACAATATTTTGTGAGTACTATTCATAACTATGTGCTGGGCACTTAGCTACGTAAAGGTGACTACATTGCAGAATGTGACAAGACACAATTCCCGATCCCTAGAATGCTATAACCTAACTGAGGGAACATGTGTAATTATATAATTATAACTGTTATAAAGGCAAAAAAGGAAAATTATAAGGTACTATGAGCAAATTTAATAATCTGATGAATCAGGGAGGGGAGTAGAAGTACGTTAAGCACTGATATAAAGAATAGCTACATATTAGAAGAGAGAATAAAGAGTTGGGTCTGCACGGTAAAGAAAGACAAGATGTAAAGGCATTAGAGTGTATGGATGTTTGAGGAAGAAAAAGTCCAGTAAAGAAATGACAGCAATCAAAGAGGAAAAGGCAAGCAATGAGACTGAAGAGGTAAGTCAGAGAGTATTACAATCACTGGCTATATGTGAAGGATAAGAATGCTACCGTACAAGCAAGAACTTAAGTGGATGTAAGGTGAATGCAATTCAGACTCACTTTGAAGTGAGAGGTTACAGAATTTGTAACTGATTGGATATAGGGGAGTTAGGGAGAGGAAAGTACTAAGAATGTTTTAGAGTTTGACAGCATGAAAACTGTTGGATACTCAGACATGGTGGTACAGACTTACAACTCTAGCTAGTCAGGAGGCTTAGGCAGAAAGATCATAAACTGCAGGTCAGCCTGGGCAATTTACTAAGATTGTATGTAAGAATAAAAATACAGGGCCTGAGGAGATAGCGCAGTAGAATAAGCACTTGCCTGGCAAGTGCAAGGTCCTGAGTTCAATCCCCAGTACCGCAAAAAAAAAAAAAATAAAAAAAAAAATAAAAATACAGCTCAGGGCTGGCCAGATAGCTCTACAGATTAAAGTGCCTGCTTAGTCAGATGCAGGGACCAGGTTCAATCCCTGGCGCTGGGCTGGCCCCACCCCCAGGGTACACTGAGTCAGCAAATGAGACTGGGCATGGTGGTGCACAGCTGTAATCCCAGTGCTTGGGAAGCTGAAAACAAAAGGATCACTATGAGTCTGATCTACATAGTGAGACTCTGTACTAAATGCATTAAAAAAAAAATACAGCTCAATGGTAGAGTATTTGTCTAGAATGCATGAATCTCTGGATTCAACCTACAGTACAGGAAATAAGGAAAGAAGAAAGGTAGGTGGGCAGGAAGGCATGTGGGCAGGATGTTGGATAGTGGTACTATTCATTAAGAATGGGTAACACCGGAGAATGGTCTATTACACACTCAGAAGAATCATTTCAGCTCAAACATAAAACTGGAAGTTGCCACATAGTATTTCCATACAAAACCAGATGAAATGAACTGGGGAGAAAGAATAGGATTCTGAAGAACTGGGCTGGGAATAAGCCCTGACAAACTCAAATATTTAAAGATCAAGTAGAAAGGGACAGTAAAAGAGACCAAGCTGCAGTAGTAGTCAGTGCCCTAGGAGGAAAAGAAGTAGACAAAAGACAAAAGAAAGCATTTGTAGAGGAAAGTATTTCCCTGTGTTAAATGCTGCTGACTGGAGAACTGAAATTCTGCAAATGGTTTTAGCAAGTGGTACAATGAACATGAGTGCTAAATATGAACCTCCCCAAATGTCATATACTATGTAAGTTGTAAATACACTGAACTGGATAAGTGAAGAAATAAATGCTGTAACAAGAACATGGAAGACCTTGAATACTACGGATTTTGGATTCTATTTTGTGAGCAACAAGGAACTGCTAAAATTCTGGAGAGTATCATGATTTAATCTATGCTTTAAGAAAATGTAGGGGCCAGAGATATAGCTTAGTAGCACAGCACCTGCCTGGTGAGTACAAGGTTGTGAGCTCAATTCACAGTACCAAAAAAAAAAAAAAAAAAAAGAAAAGAAAAATGAAATTATAAGCTATAAATATGTACCTTCCCCCACAAAAAGGGGATCAAGAAGAGCAGAGAGGGAGGTAAGGAAAAGGGGATAAAAAAAAGGAATTAGGATTATATATGTGTACCAACTTCCCACAAAGAATATAAATATTACATATTATGAACATATTAATTGGGCTAGGCACGATAGCGCACCCCTGTAATCCAAGCATTTGAGAGGCTGAGACAGGAGGACTGCTGCAAGTTCCAGGTCAGCTTAGACTACAAAGAGAGTTCAAGGCCAGCCTGAACTGCATAGTGAAACCCTGCCTCAAAAAGACCAAAAAACTCCTAAACAAAAAAACCCTCATATTAATTTTAATTAAAAAAAATTAACTGAAGGCCTATACACAGAAAATATGTTCTTTAGGAATATAAAACATTCTTCAGGACATAAATCATCATCTTGCACAAGAAAATATAAAAGTAAAAAATACCAAGAACCAAAAAAGAAGAAAAGAACTCTAACATGAAAATACTTTGAAGGACCAGGTATAGTGGCACATGCCTGTAACCTCAGTATTCGGGAGGCTGTGGCAGGAGGATTGTTGCAAGTATGAGACCAGCCTGGGCTACAAAGTGAGCTCAAGGCCATTCTGAACTGCATAGTGAGATCCTGCCTTAAAAAGGAAAAAAATCAAAACACTTTGAAAAATGAAGCAGGGCTGGGAAATAGCTCACTGCCTGACTGGCAAGTGAAGTTCAAGGTCCTAAGTTCAATTTTCAGCATCAAAAAAGAAAAAAAAAAAAAAAAAAAAAAAAAAAAAAAAAAAAAAAAAAAAAAAAAAAAAGAAGTTAAACTGTTACAAAGCTTCTGCAGGAGTTCCTGGGCAGAAAAATGTTAAGCTGAGTTATTACCTTAATGCCAGAAGACTTTGAAGAGGCTGATACTTTCTCAGGGCTCTTAGATTTTTCTGCTTTCCCAAGCTTCTCAGTAGGCTCTTTACTGTCATTTGAAGATTTCTGAGATTTATCAAAAATGTTAATTCCCAAGATCTGAGCCACTTTGTCAAGTTCAGATTGCTTCTTTTCTGCCTCTTCTGCTTCCTGCCGTAGCTCTGCAATGTCTTTCATGATGTTATCCTGTAGCCGACTCATCTCCACCAGAAGCGGGTCTTTGTGCCCATCCTTCTCCCTTTGCTTCTTGCGCAGCATCTCCCCTGAGTAGTCAAATGCCAACAGAAAAAAGTGGGGGAAACTGAGTCATTTTTCATTTAAAGTAATGACATTTTAGGGCTTTATGGTTAAAAATCATTTTCCACAAAGATTTCTGAGAGCATGTGAGACTCCCCTTCCTCATATGCAAGGAGCAGGATAGGTAATCACATTCTTCCGGTAGGGATGACTGCTAAGGATACATGAATTGACTACAGTGTTTCACCAACACCACCAAATGGTATATGTATATCTGTGTGCATGGCCCCCTAAGAGATTAATAAATATCACAATTATAAATACAGCAGCTGATCTCTCTTCAGGGAGCCAAAAAGTTATTCAGAGGGTAAAATATATTAAGAGTCACACATTTTATCTGATTTAAGGACACTATCAATGGCCACATGAGTTTTAGGTTTTGCCTCAGGCTCACCTAATAGTATCCCTATTTTAAATTTCAGGTCCTTATGAACTGATTTTTTTTTTTTTAAACTGATCTTTGAAGGGTAAATTTCTTATCCTTAAACAATTCAAACCCAGACTGAAGCAATTTTATCTTTTACTGTTATTTCACACTATCAATAAGCTGCGGTATTTGGAGGCCTTATGATAATCTTTCTTCATTGTGTGTATCAATTCCTAAAAGCACAGATAAACAGATGGAATAAAAAGTAAGGCATCATAGAACACCCTGGGGCAAAAAGTAAGGATGTGCTCAAAAGTTGATGAGGAGATACTGAAAAGACATAGAGCCAGCTCATGAGGACCTCACTAGCTAAATCTGAAATAATCTGAGCATGAAAAAACATCACAATGAAAGATTATAACCAAAAACTCCACCAAGAAGCTACTAGAATACAGAAATTCAGTAGTATAGCAGGTTATAAAGTCAATACCCAAAAGTCAATAGCATTCCTCTACACAGACAACAAACACACTGAGAGGGAAATTATAGAAACAATACCTTTTACAATAGCAAGGGGATCAAGAAGAGCAGAGAGGGAGGTAAGGAAAAGGGGATAAAAAAAAGGAATTAGGATTATATATGTGTACCAACTTCCCACAAAGAATATAAATATTACATATTATGAACATATTAATTGGGCTAGGCACGATAGCGCACCCCTGTAATCCAAGCATTTGAGAGGCTGAGACAGGAGGACTGCTGCAAGTTCCAGGTCAGCTTAGACTACAAAGAGAGTTCAAGGCCAGCCTGAACTGCATAGTGAAACCCTGCCTCAAAAAGACCAAAAAACTCCTAAACAAAAAAACCCTCATATTAATTTTAATTAAAAAAAATTAACTGAAGGCCTATACACAGAAAATATGTTCTTTAGGAATATAAAACATTCTTCAGGACATAAATCATCATCTTGCACAAGAAAATATAAAAGTAAAAAATACCAAGAACCAAAAAAGAAGAAAAGAACTCTAACATGAAAATACTTTGAAGGACCAGGTATAGTGGCACATGCCTGTAACCTCAGTATTCGGGAGGCTGTGGCAGGAGGATTGTTGCAAGTATGAGACCAGCCTGGGCTACAAAGTGAGCTCAAGGCCATTCTGAACTGCATAGTGAGATCCTGCCTTAAAAAG